TACGATCCGTTTTTTTCTTCTTTCTTTCTTGTGTTGAGAAAAATCACTCACACCAGTAGCATTGGAGCTGGAGAAGACCATTTTTAAATAAAATGCTTATTTTCTATTGAAATCATGTGAAAATTTGTTCACTAAGGTAAAAACTGATTACAAATCGAATGGACATAATTTTGAGGTCTTAAGAGGAACTTTGAGGGGTCTCTGGAAAACCTTGATTAAAAACTCACAGTATGACGATATAATCCAATTTCAAAATCCTTTTAAGTATTGTGATGTAGTAATTATACGGTCACGTGTATCCATGTGACCGCCCATGTGACTGTCCACTTCGGGAACATTCTAGAGTGGTCTATTGTTCTGTCCCTTTCTCTCTCTCTCCTGATTTTCTGATGTCATGTTCTAGAATGGTCTGTAGATGATACTATATATACTGGTTGTTTTCCTTCTATCTGTCAGTTACTTAGCATTGACTTCTACAGTCAGATCATTACTAATACGCGTGTGTAAATTGGTGCTTCTAATTCAAATGCTGTCTTTAGGCTAAGAAAAAGGGTATTTTAATCAATAAGATATTAGAGAAGGAATTTCGAAAATACTAACAGCTCAATTCTTCTGAGCCATAGCTAGATTACATTAGCATGCCTAAATTAAGCAAGCGAAAAATTCAGTCACGAAAAGCAAAATCCGATCAACCCTCAAAAAGAAAGATTTCGAATGCGAGCGACTCGTCAAACGATGAATATCGAATGGACATTGATGACGATCAAGAATTAAAATTCAGTGAAAGAATTTCGTTATCCGACATTGGTGACTTGGCTGAAATGTGCAAGTTAAAATGTGGCAGCAAATATCTTAGCACTTTACTTTATATGTTGTTACGCTTCTTCAACGTTAAATGGGAAGATATCGATGAGCATTTGAAGAGTATTGGTTTGATGACCGCAATAACATCTCACAAATGGGCGACAGTGTTTTATTGATTAACGAGGTGGTAAAAAAACTGATTCATTTTACGATATGTTTCCCGAGATTGAAGCAGATGCAAAAACATTTGTTGTTCAAGCGTGCTCACAAAAATCTGGAGAATTAAAAGCTTTGGATTTGGCTCAGTTTATTGATGAAAAATATTATGAGTTAAAGGGAATTAAAAAACAAAGCGGCGATGATTTAATAAGACCGGAGATGGGGAGCTAAATTCGAAGCGAACTCGCAGCGTCTATATTTTGAAGGACATGAAAGAGATGATGTCATGAAACATCGTAATGAATTTATTAATTATTTTCTCGCACGTAAAGATTCTTATTACACAATCACTGATGAAGAAACACCTATGTGTAAGTACAGCAGTCAAAAACATCTAGATACAATTTCTATTGCGCTTTTTATCGTTACTAGTTCATGATGAATCAACGCTTAGAAGTGGTGAAGTTAGCGTAAAACGATGGTTCTTTCGAGAGAATGTACCGTTTTTTCAAAAGGTCGTGGTCGTAGTCATATGATTTCATATTTTCTTGTTCAACATCCTACCGGACCTTTCTTTGAACTAAGTGATAATGAATGGAAACAAGCGATTACCAAGTATAAGTCACTGAGTATCGGTAGTGACGTTAATTATCTTAATGGAACAGCCACCGCTAGTATCAATGTGGGATTAGATGCCTATTTCAAATGCTAGAATTGAAACAAGAATATAAAAATCATCAGATAGAAGTCATCGTAGACAACGCAAGAACTCATACAACCAAATCATATTCACTACAGGATTTTGGTAGAAACATTGGCACTCGGTGTCCAGTTGAAAAAATCGAATATGTTGACGAAAACGGGGCAACAAACGTTATTGAATGCTATTTTAAAAATGGAACAAACAAAGGCAAATCGAAAGGATTAGTCGAACTGTGTAAAGAATCACGCGTACAATTGCCAGTTCAGATTAAACTAGATGAAATTCGGAAAATACTTTCAAAACATAGAGCTTTTCAAAATGTAAGTGAAAGCCACTTAATATTTTAAAAGATATCATTCCATAGAATTTCGTTTCCCGTTTAGATTATATACTGTCCGAAATATCATTGCGAACTAAACGCAATTGAAGGTCTTTGGTGTAATCAAAAGGCATTCGTTCGTTCACGTACAGATCAAAGTTTTGAAAAAATGATAAAACTAATATCGGATTCTCGTATACATTTTGTTGAACGAAAAATTGCATTAAAACTATTCAGGCGTTTTTGGCGATCAATCGAAGCATACTCTCAAGATCAGACATATGTTGATATATTGAAACTCTTTTTTTAGTCAACTCTGCAAAACATCAATTCAATCACATCGTAGAATATCCAATAAAAACATAAATGAACAGTAGTAAACGCTTTTTTAATTCGACATTTTTCATTGACATGTTTTGTTTTATGTACTAAAGCATGTAAAACAGTGAATAAATGTGAAAAGTTAACAGTTTCTTCATTTAAAATGACAAAATTCTGACGAAAACGAAAAAACCCTCAAAGTTCCTCTCAAGATCTCAAATTATGTCCATTCGATTTGTAATCAGTTTTTACCTTAGTGAACAAATTTTCACATGATTTCAATAAAAAATAAGCGTTTTATTTAAAAATGGTCTTCTCCAGCTCCAATGCTACTGGTGTGAGTGATTTTTCTCAACACAAGAAAGAAAGAAGAAAAAAACGGATCGTTCCTTTTTAAGTGATAGTATGATGATTCGAATGAGGTAAAATATTTGCTTTTATCATTTACACAGAAAAACTAGATAGGTTTTCAAAATTAAGTTATGCATGTTTCACCTGGCCCGATTCAGAAGGCCACCATCGAAAAATGTTGTTGTCTGGGATCGATGTAACAACCCATTCTGAGTCAGATTTGCATGGGGAATCTGAAAAAGATATTTTCAGAAGCATAAGAAAGCTCCAATCAAAATATAAGACATATATTTTTGAAAAATAGCAATTTTTGAGCAATCTTCGACATCTAAACTTTTTCGACCTGAAAATGGTATCTCCCTGAGCTTAAAAGTTGTTTTTTGTGATCAGCAGCTCAAACTGTATCAAATGACATAAAAAACGGCAAAAAAGTTTTACTTAAAGTTTGAGTTACCGGCACCTTATATATATTTATAGACATTTATTTAAATTCAAAATAAAAACTTACCGAGCAACAAGACTAAACTAAAGCAGAGATTTAAAGAAACTGCCATGAACAGAGCCTTATGTCTCCTGTAATACTTTTTGTTCTAGTTTAATATAGATGCCGATGTGCGTCTTATCTTTGTTCTAGAATGGTTAGAAGATTCAGTTACTGATTAAAACCGACGTTTATATATATGCGATCGTTTGTTTGTTTTTCTCTTCTTGCCGTCCAATACAGTAACTGATAAGCCTTGTACCAGTTACGTACTGGTAATAGAAGTCTATTAATAAGAAGAAGAAAAAAAGAAAAGAGAGAAATGTAAATGTAAATCTAAAGTCTCTCTCTCTCTCGTTCGTGCTCGCTCTATCCATTCCCTTGATATGTACACATACACTATAATAGCTGTATGTTATCTATCAATAAATAGACATGCGCATATTATTTGCATTAAAGAATAATCGTTAATGTTGTTTTCGTGACATTCTCAACAGACCATCAAATATATCATTTATAGTCAGTTAGTATAACTAAGTATAAAAATAGAAATAAAGCTTAATCTATTTTGGACGGATAGTTCGAAGATTATCTTGAGAACTACGTAACCAATGATAGGCTAGTCGAAAAGTTCGTTGTATTTCTTTAGTACGATAGAGAACAGAAGAAATGACATGAATATCTATTTATCAATAAAGTGAGCTACTTAAACAGCATAGAAGTTAACTTCTTATCTATATGAAAATATTTTTTCGATATCTTAAGTATTGGCTGAGAGCGGACAACAGTTGTACTCTCAATTAGTCAGTTTTATGATATGCTGATATCGATGCTGTACACAATAATTGATTGCACGTGTAAATAAAGGGACTAGTTCATTATTCGTTTTATTTTATCATAAAACAAAAACTACTTTGAAAGAGAAAATTAATTATAATAAAGAATACTTGTATGAAAAACATTTCACGAATATAGTTTGTTCCTAAACATGTGATATAACATATCTTTAAAGGTCATAGGCTTCTATTTACGTACAGATCTTAGATGTACTTTGGAATAATACAATGCATCATAACAAACTATCGTTAGCCCTTGGACTCTAAGAGTAATTGCTATAACCTAGATAATTACATTTCCCAGCTCCTATAGAAAACAGCTGTCTCGTGTTCTTTTTATCTTGTCCTGAAAACTCCTTCATCAAGTCTTATCATTAGCTTCGAGATCAAATGCGACGAATGATTTCCATATTTCAAGATTCAATACATATATATTGTTTTTTCTTCGGTAAACTATCTTCTAATTCGATTAGCATAAATACATTATAAGTGAAGATAAGTAGAAAAAGAAAAAAAAAGTTATTTTCAAATAATATATTCATTAGAGAAAACTCGTCAGTAAGGTACAGAATATAAATGATTTAAACACGAAATATTCTTCGCTAATCACTGTATCGTTCTGTAAGTAAATAGTTATAAAAATTTATGTTAATCTTATGCAATCTTAAATGTTTTAACACGGTTAGAATTCGAAATATAACTTGTGATTTGTCAGTTGAATAAAACGATTGGTATATTTGGTTAAGTTATCTATACCGTTATCTCACGATGAAAAAAAAACTTCTCATTATGTTGACTGTTCTACTATTCGAATTGTAAAAAAAGAAAGATATTGAAAATAAATTTAGGTGTAAAATACTGTCCGCTTCATTATTCGTGTTATCACAAAAACATTTTCTTATCCATGTTTCTCATCGAGTTTATTTATATCACTTATGGTAATAATAATCTTCAGAGATTCAAAAGCACACTCAAAAGATTTGAATGTCAGCCTGTACACAATGTTGTATCGATTCCAACAGACAGTCAAATCGTTTTTCAAGGACACTCAGAATTGTCTTGGCTTTGGAAATATATAAATGCGAATCGTATCTTTGTTTAGACTGGGTTGGATGATTAAAACTTTGAATGTAAGCATAGTTGAAGGTAAGGATAAAGATAAGACTTCTGTCGTCTCTCCCACACACCCTAGATATTTGTCGTAATGAAATGAACTTTGTCCTAACTCAACTGAGCCCGAAAGATATACATATCATTTCTATTTGCTTGCGTAGTCAAGTAAATTGTCCAGGACAACTTAACCCCAATCTAAAAGTTATATCGCTTGAATAAAATGAATTTTAATTATGCATGATTCCTAATTCCTGCAGCAGTATTCTTTAACTGCTAACATTCATTATATGATAACGTGCAGAAATTTTGCAGTCGCTATGCGTTCGTCTACTTTAGACTCTTGACGAATATCTTCCTCAATCATTATTTATTTATTTTTTTAGCATTTTTTAGCATTTGCATGTAAATTGCTAATGAATGTATGCTTATAATACTCTTACCAAACGGCTGCCTCCTCTCGAGATATCTATCATTTTTGTGTTATCGTTTTATTGTGAGAAAAAGTGCAAGCAAAAGATTTATTCTCATATGCATTCATATGAAAGATGGTTCATAAGAAAAAGTTCTTTGTTTTCTTTTGAGACGGAAAAACAAAAGCGAAATATACCACAGTAAATAAGACATGGTTAAATGGATGAAGTGCAGAGTTATTTTTGATGTTCACATGGATAAAGACAAGACGAACAACAAGCAAAGGAAAACGACATTAGACAATTAACACACAAAGTTCAACGTGTAGCAAACAAGTGAATCACATAGAAATGTACAAGCAAGTTTGTTTTTTATACAAAAGAAAGAAAACGTGCTTCATTTCATGAATCAGCAACCTCTTGATTTTCATTCGTTTTTTCCTTGTCGTTTGGCACAGTATTATCAATAACAGCATGATTTTGATCATGCGCTGCATGGTTAACAATGATATATTCATGTCCATTGGAATGAAGTTCACCCGAGGATACGGTTTCATTTTGATTTAAGTTAATATCTTGACGTGAGACAGCTGTTTCTAATTCGCTATCTTTATTTTCTTCTTGGTCAGAATCATTATCTTCTTCATCACTGCCAATTCTATTTAAATTTAAAAATAAAGTAATAATGCTGATATCGCTTTGTGATCAGTCAATATTTTAAACGCCTTTTCAATTTATATACTGATTGGCAAATCTCTAAACATGACGGCATGCGTCAATGTCTGTAAAATATTGACTTTGAACTCAATAGTATGCTTAGATTTCTCGGTAGCTCATTTCTTTTAATATGGAAAAATGTCAGCATACATACAATGTTAATGGTCGGTTTTCTGATTCGGCTAATTCAATTCGATATTTATTATCATTTTCTCCGTCGTCAACGGATGATGTTTGTTGCGCATAATGTAGAACGGATGAATCATACTAAAGTTAAGTTTTTGAATTAAGCCGAAAATATTTATTTATTTACCATATTTGAATATTCATCCTGTTGTTTGATTAAGGGTTCTGAAATTTGTTCGTCAACATTCGTTACTTGCATATTATTTGTATTTTCATATATTTTATATTTAATCAATTCATCGAAAGCGACATCGGATATATCACGCATGAGATCAGGAGCACATTCACGAATCCTGTTTAATAAAAAAAAGAATTTGTTTACAATTGTTTGAGTTTTGTCGTCTTACATTGCTCCGCAATATTTTTCAATTGTTTTTTCAATTAATTCCGAGAATTCAATATGACAATCGCGCATTAATGCAGCAGAATCAGGTTGCTGTTTAAATGAATAAACAACACGATCACGAATCTGATTAAGAATCGATTGACTACATATATCATTAACATGTAATCTTATAAATCTATTAACCGAAAAAAAAAGAGAGAATTTGACTTTTTAGTGAACATTTAGTTTTTGACAACATACGTTATTAATTGACTCATCACTGATTTGATCTGATCATGAAGTTTTTGTATATCAATATTATCAAAATTCTAAAAATAAAGATAGAAAAATAATGATAGGAAATTTTAATTTTAACACACATGAGTTGTTGTTCGATAAAAAGCGGCTGGTTGAATATTAAATATAGTTGCTGAATGATCAGTTGTTTGTTGTTCGTTTTCACTATCATCATCATCGTCGTCGTCGTCGTCGCCATGATCATCATCATTATCATTATCATTGAATTGTTCTTGGTGTAAATGTTGATCATAATTAAATAATTGAGATTTAAGAAGACTATTTTCATCATCATTTGATATTGGTCGTCGACGAATAATAAACGATTTTGAAAGATGGTCTTTTGTTGAATTACGATGATGATTTGATGTTATTTCATATTCATCGGAGAGTGGTTTAGGCCGTGAGTGGACTATTTTTGGTGATGATAAACGTTTACCATTATATGCTATTAGAATAAAATAAAAGCTCTTTGTTTTATATTACTGAGTATTGCTTCTGTCTCTTAACAATAAGCACCCTAGTTTTATGCATCTAATGTTTGTGTGGTGCATAGCCGCGGAATCAGAGGCTATGAACTCTACATTGCATCTACAGATAGTTCAATAAAACTACTCAAGGATGATGTAGAATAGACAGTATCTGTAAACATTTAGTGTCTGCCTTTCTATTCTGAATTCAGTGTTCTTGATTACTTATCAATCAATATACATACTATTTCTTTCGTGTTTAACTGGCGTTCTTTCCATATTACTTTCAGTTAAATGAATAGCTGTTTGTTGTCCAGTACTTTGACTATTGAATGATGTTTTACTTGAATTTTCAAATTTATTAGTTGCTGATAATAAACGTTTATCTTGTTGTACACGATCATCGAGTCTTGAACGCACACGTGAACGTATTGGTTTAATTTGATCTAAACTATAAATTGAATCTTTTGAATTATCTCTTGAGTACACATCTGATTTATATTGATATTGATCATCTCGCGATGATATTGAAGATGACAAGCGATTATTTTCAATTTGTAACGCATTTATTTCCGATTGTAAAACAGCTATTTCACGATAAGCTGTATTTAAATTAACAATAAGACCTTGCGTAAGAACTTGTTGTTGAAGTTGATTAAATACCGGATCATTCATATTTGGCATTACAGGTGTCTGTGATGAAACATTTGTGGCAGCTTTAAGATGTTCTTCAATATGTTGATTAAATGATTTTTGTTCTTTAATAAATGTTGATAAACAACTACATATATCACGCATTTGTACACTTAATTCATCGGTAGACTCAGCTTGTTTATTCAATATACGTTGTTCATGTTCAGCAACAATATCTTCCGGTGTATGGAAATTCTTCAAACAAAAGATTATTGTTTTTATTAAATCAAAAGAAAAAAAATATACAATAGGAAAAACTTACTCCTTGTTTTATTCGTGGTTGAATTCCGTCATCTGAAAAATTTGGAATTTTAAAATTAATGACTTTTTTAATAAGAAAAATTTTACCGGTTTCATCGTCATTAATTTCTTCTCCATCACCTGATTCATATTCAAAACGATATAATTCTGAATCCTCATCATCATTCTCGCCTTCTTCTCCTTCTCCCTCTGGATCGTTAGATGTATAAGGTGAACGATTATTTTTAGAACTATTTAATTTATCTGCATATGTATTCGTTTGTTGTTTCGATTCTTTGACATTGTTTTTGTATTGATTTTGAAGTTGGCTTGCATTTGTTGACTCTAATTCAGACATAAATAAATCAGTTCAAATAGAAATTTATTTTTACCTTGTTTCGATGGTACCGGTGGTGTGGACATACTTTGATGTAGTGATGTGATTTGATCTTTAATTGTATGTAAACGTTGACGAGATTCAATTAAACGCTCCATTTCACGATGTTGTGCAGCCATTTTAGCATCAGCATAACTATTTCGTGCGGGCATTGGTTTTTGAAGTTCGGCTACGTTAGGCGAAAGAATACTTGATAGAAGCGAATTTTTAGCTTTTCCGGTGGTTGTGCTTTGCGTTTGTTGAGTTGCCTTTGGAGTATATTGATAGAGATTAGTATTCGGAGTAGTCGTTGGTTTTGTGGAAGGCACTTGTCTTGGAGTTGAACGAGCTGATGAAGAACATTCATCGGGTTCAATTTTTTTAACCATTTGTTGTAGACGGCTTAGTGCAGATTTAGCTTCTTCCAATTCTCTGAAATGTGACAGTAATGCTTTTAGGTAATCGGAAATAATTTTATTAAAGTTGATAATGGAAGTAGTTACTACAAGTTAAATCTTAGTGAGAATAATTTATGAGGCCAGACGTTTTTTGGCTAACTCCTAAGTTCAGATAAAAAAGATCTCATACGGAAAATTAAGTGTTGCACCGATTTTAGAATAGTAGTTAACTTTACATTTCAATAAGTGTGTATTAACAAAACGTGAAGAAACCTTTATTCATAATACCTCCTAAGCGTATTTGTCACTACGTGTTACAATTTTGAGTTATTTTCTGTATTTAGTTTGTATTCGGCGTATAAATAATTTCAGTTAAGTCTCAAAAAATCTTGTTAAGTCGTACTATTTTCCTTTCATGAATACTGCGTGGCCTTTTTTCCTAGAATTTTTAGAGACAAAAACAACAATTTTAGGTAAATTTCTAAATACAGAATCGTATGTAATGTTCTTGAACTACTCAAATTTCAAATAGATTTTAACTATTGCGTCCTTCTATTTCGTTTTTTCATTAATCGTCAATATTTGAAGAAAGACGTGTATATTTTCTTTTTTTCTTAATGAATACTAATGCTATCAATTGACAACTTTCAAGGATAATTTTTTGTATTTTGATATCATATTGTTCTCATCAAACAAGTGATAAATATTATAGAGGTCTAAATATCCGACATCGAAAACTTAGGAGTGTCCTTCTCTATAGAGTTAACTTACAAACGTTTAGCTGCTAATTCAGTTGATAATTTATCTAGTGGTTTCGAAGCATTATCATTGCTTGGTATTGCTGCTATTGGTTTTTGCCGTTCTTGCATGAGTAATGCTCGTAAACGTTGCGCATCATCAGGTTGAATAGGAGTTTCTTCATAAACTGTTGTTTCTTCTTCGCTTTGATTCATTAAATCTAACTGATAATATGTTACAATTTGTTCTAATTCATTTAATTGTTCACGAACATTTTTTAAATTTTTTTCACGACTCTCAACTGGTGCTGGTGATTTTTTTGGCGTACTGAATAAAAGAAGAAAAAGGAATAGTTGAGGTAAAAATTAATTCGCATGAAAATTTACTGTTTCATTTCTTGTACTTCAACTTGATGTTTTTGGTCGTAAAGACTTCGGAGTAATTTCAATCTAAATTAATTAATTTAGTTCGATTATTAATTATTATTATGGTTGCTAATATTTACCTGTCACGTAGGTTATTTATATCAGATAAAAGATCGGTCTCTGATGGATTTTCGTTGCGTTCCGTAGTTTTCTTATTAATTAATTGTTGTTGTTCGATCAATCGCTTTTCTGAGCGCTTCTTCAATGCAAGTAATGCCCGTTTTTGACCTTGTAAAGCTCGAAGCTGGATAAAATAAAAGGAACATTAAGTTAATTCTTTAACAAATACGAAAAATTGGTTTTGTTATTTACTTGTTCTTTTTGTAGCATTAAGTTTCTTTCAATTTCTTTTTCACTTTCAACATCACTTGCTTCGTCACTAGACTATAAAAATCAAAATTAATTTTAAGAAAAAAAAACTTTGTCTCTTTTCACATACCGTTAATTGCTGATCTTTCCAATTGAGTGTGTCACTTTTGAGACTGCCAACAAGTGAATCATAATTTGAATTATCATTTCGATTATTTTGCTCATTATCCGATGAATTTATTATTGGTGGAACCGTTGGAGTCGGTGGAATGATTGATTGCGGTGTAAAACCTATTTTACTTTCAATACGTGGACGAACAGGTGATCGTACATTGCGACGACACAAAGGATCATCCTAATTGATTGAATGAGAAATAAAAATGTTTGTTTTTTATTTGTTTAAGCACATACATCCTCATCTTCGTCTTCGTCATTATCATCGACTTCATCATCATCATCATCATCAACATTGCCATTTTCATCATTAGATTGATTATTAGCATTGACTGGCAATGAGCTATGAGCGGTGGAAATTTTTTCGACTAATGCTGCTTTTTCTTGATTGGTCAGCTAGATACAAAAAAAAATTAACTGATTTTTCCTAACATTCTAACATATAAAAGACGAGCGTTATGAAGTCGACTCTAAAATACACCTAGTGAATAACCGTTTCTTATTGTCCCAGTTAAATTTTCTTCTGTAGAGTTTGTAGCTTCGAACTCAAAGTTTTCACATACATTGAGAGTCTCAGAGATAGCCGAAGAAAAATCTCGGATCTAAACCCAATCAATTTTAATATCAGTAATTATGTTTGGTACATTGTTATTTTCTGAAGATGGTGAGAGCTTTTCCTATGGGTGTTGAAGGCTAAAACACTTATCGGTAAATAAGCAAGCATGTCTATAGTAACGACTATACCTCTGGCAATTTTTTTTATGTTAGAGATTGTTGGAAAGAATCACCAAATCTACTTTACATTTTGATTAAATATATAGTGGTTGTTGACACTTTCAAATAGCAAGAAGTCTGAAGACTTAGGTTTTGGGCTATTAAATCTCATCAGTTCAGATATGTTGCTCGAAAAATCTTATATGAACTTACGGTGATTAAATTAAGTAAATTAACATAACCAGCTCGTTGTTCTTCAAGATTTTCAATAATAATATAAAGTTTTTCACATTGTTCTTGACTGCCAGGCTAAAATAAAACACGAGAGAAAGTTCATAACAAATTGAAAAGAAAAAATATTTACAACTAAATTCTTGAATTTTTCCATTGATTGAAGCATTGTTTTTGCTTGTTCAATCGAATTTTGAATTTGATCTATACGAGCAGCGATTTTTGCTGTTGAAATCTGATGAATGAAAAATAAAAAACAAGATCAAAATAAGTTCTTCTGTTATTACTTCTGCTGATTGATCTTGATCGTTGAGTTCAGTTGATTCTTGTTTAGTTTTATTTGGAAATTTTTGGTAAGATGGCGTATTGATTGATAATTCACTACCACTTTCTTCATCGTTCATCTGAATATTATCATTTTGATAGACTGGAGCGAAGAATGACATCTTTAAAAGAAGAAAAAAAACAGTTTTAGGCTTTTTTAATGAAGAGAAATGTTCTATTTACTTGATTGGCTTTTTCTTTATTATTCGATTTGAGCAAATTACACGTTTTTCGTTTCGGAGGCATTTTTTTTATTAAAAAATTATCTAAAAAAGTAAAAATCACGTATTTTTTTATTGATAAACTCTTATATTCCTAAGCAGATTATCATAATGCTAAATACACAATTAAAATCTGTTTTATAAAGATTTTCTGTGAGTTTAATATTTGAGCATAAGCCCGGTATGAATGCTAAACTAAATGATATTGAATTCGATGAGAATCAACTTATAAACTCATTTACCAGCTGCTTTCACGAATTCATTAACACATTTATGAATATCAAAAACATATTTCGATTGCAGAATAACATACAATAATGGAAAATAATATGTAAAGAAAAAAAATGGGCTGTAAGTGTAAACATGTTTTTTTTGAAATTGAGAAGAATTTCTTCCGTACAAACTTATTTTTGTCGTATACAATTGGCAAAAAAGAGAGAAATATGTTCGCTCCTTCCATCGGTCAATATTCTTCAAGTAACGTTTTCAAGGTAACAACCTCAAAATGATTTTTCGTTTCAAATATTTTATTAGCTTGGGTCAAAAATGATTTTTATTTTTTAAATTATTTTTGTTGTAAAACATTAATAATATTAATTTGTATTATTCGACTTGATCAAAACAATAGATGAACTGTACAAAAGTGACATCTACCAATGACTTATGCTTCTATTTGAAAATTTTTTTCTGTAGCTATTAGTTATTAGTGTAAATAAAGTTTTAAATAATTACTTAATGAAACAATAGTTCTTGAGGCAGATCAAGAAACGATCGTAGGAACAATTTCACTGAAGAATTGCTTGAAATATGTTTCAAGAGATGAAGTAAATCAATCAATATGGATACAACTAACACCTCCGACATAAGTTAACAGAACGAAAAAGAAACACAGAAGTAAATATGTACTTGGAAGAATTCGAATGAATACGATCAACCAAATGAGTTCGCAGTAGATCAATTTTCGTTCTATTCGTTACATACCTATATAAATATAATCATCCATTCTCTGAATTCTCACTTCGTATAATGGCGCTGTCGATCAAGTATATATAGTTTTACAGCTAATGGTCGTTTCTTTTTGTTCCGCTTTCTGTACATTGATTGTATTCAAATACTTTCCTGTTCAATAGACTGAAGAAAGTGATGAACAACTTTTGCATTACCATAAAAATGTAATACACGAATGGATACCGATAATGAAGAAGATACTAGATCTCAACAATTAAAGTTTCTCATCATTTCTGGAACGAGAATATTTATTATTCAATAACATATACTCATCGATTTCATGAACAATTCTCAGAGTCTATTAAAAAGCTAAAATTTATTTCTTAAACATACTGAAAATATAATTTTACATGCTGATAATTTTCTCTTTATTAATGTTTTTAATTTTCGAACTATACTCATGTTTCATTGAAAAGATTTCATAGTATTTACTTTTTTTATTGCACCAATAAATTTTATTTTATTCTCAGAGTTTTTAACAAAACAAATAGTGCAGAACACAAAAAACAAGTCTTCCGACTTCTTTGTTTCTTATTCTATCTTTCCTTGATTATTCTATCAAACGTGACTTGATCATGTTATTTACTGGCCGAAATTAAACAGTTGAAATGTTTTCTTCCCCGTATACTTGACATATTTATCTGAAACAAACAGAATTATGTAGTTGTTAAACAAAATGTCATGCGAGTTCGTTTCTATCGACCGATGAATGCTGCCTACTGTATTGTAATTGAAAAAATTCCAATTTAAGTTTTGTTTAAAAAAATATACCGATAAAACATTTTATTTTTGTACTGTTGACATAAACGCAAGGCAAAGGTTATTTGAAATCAATGAAGCATTTCATTTTGTTTTTCTCTTAGGTGAGTGTATCCAAGGAAGTGAAAATTCAGTATTGATAATTCATATATTTTTGAATGAAAAATAAAAAAATGATTTCCAATTCATGGTTTTTCCTATAGGCAATATTGATTTTAGAGTAATTAATAAGTAAAAAATGTTTCGTACAATCCCATTAGATTTGTTATCTACATCGAATTTGAATGAGTCAAATTTTGATCACCTACCAAAAATCCTTTTTATAGGAGAAACCGGTGCTGGAAAATCAACATTCATGAATTATCTATATAATTATTTCAATAAAGGTGAATTAAATAATCTTAAAAATACCATTCCTTGTAAATATCATCCGATAATAACTGAAGAATTTTCTCATTATGAATTAAATATTAATGATAATACTCAATCGAAAACAAATGACTGCACAAGATATATTTTTGCTGATTGAACAATAAATAAACAATATTTATTTATTTATTTATTTATTGATATTCCTAGTCTTTTGGATACTTGTAGTGTTGCACAAAATGAGATCAATATGAATAAAATAATCGAAACTGTGTTATTGTTAATGGTTCTATGAGTCGATTAACAATGAATTTTCGTTATGCTATTAATTGTTTAAATATTAATATATCTGATATTGTTTTAGAAAATGTTATTATTATTTTAACAAATGTTTAAAAAATATACATGGTAGTATTTTTCCATTTTACATGCAAAATGGTGCTTTTGTATCGGATCCTCGAACTCGGTCGAACAGATTCATGACGAACTGCAATATGAGTGCAAGCACCCTATCATAGTACTCTATGTGCAAATTGTAATCAAGTTTGTCATAATAATTGTCGTTTAAATGAAACAATTATTGCTGGTGTGTAGGGGTGACCCTTTATCTTTATTTTCCTTTATACTAAAGGATAAAGATAAATGAATCCGTTATCTTTAGAAAATAAACGTAAATGATTGAAAAAGCATCTATAATTTAGTCTTTTAAAGATAGATGGATCATTTATCTTTATTTAGTAAAGTAACACTAAATGACCACCCCTAATTACGAGAGCTAGGTTACAATTCACCATGTCTTATTTTCACGGGTGATGCATATGCTGCACAAGAGAAACTCAACAAAATGCTATCCGAAAACCAACAACACAATATCAACATAACTGAAAACATAAGTGATCTTGAAGATTTTGTCAATTTTCAATGACAAGTACTTACGTGAGTCCAAAAGTAGTTGCGGAGGTATGATAATCATTCAAAGGAGGGTTCAATAATTTTTTTCCTATACAGTTTGACAGAGAAAAGAAAGCTCTATTTTTCTATACTATTTGAACTTATTCAGACTAATCCTATGATAGTAAAATTTCTGTAAAACTTAATTTGGTCGGACGTGTGCTGGTTGCACTATATCATATTCTGTGTTTCATACACATAATATTCTTGCCATTCTTGAGGGTGTGCGTATTTTGTTGCTATGTATTGTTCTACGCCACACCCACACCTTAGCATAGAAAAATAGAGCTTTCTTGTCTCTGTCAAACTGTATAGGAAAAAGATTATCGAACCCTCCTTTGAAAGATTATCATACCTCCGCAACTACTTTTGGACTCACCTAAGTATATTCGGTTGTATTTAAAAATTACGAAATTAACTACTTTCGTCATAATGCTTATTATCTTCAGTAGCTTTCGTAACTTTTTGTAGGACTACTTTACGAAACATTATTGCTTCATTTTGATGGAATATCGCTAAGCGAAACAGTATGCTTGTACTTTTGAATTTATTGACTTTTTTAATGGTCCCAAAACAGTTACCTAGTATACTGTCAATTTCTGTATATAGTCCCAATTTACAAATATCAACATAATTCTGTTACTTATTAGTTGTAGCAATTATAATAATTTAGAGGCACTATCATCATCATCATGTCCTAGAGTATAAAGTGCTATTTTCTGGAGCTTCTCCAAAATCTTCATTCATCTCGTATTTTTGTTATTGTTCTGATTGTGTTAGTGCTGGTAAAGAAGAGAAATAAGATCATTTATTTGTTTCATCCGCCTTCAAAAGAAGATGGCAAATAAACAATAAATCAGTGTTTACAAAAAAACGTTGTACATCGATTGATGCATTGCGTGATATCATGCAGGGTAATCAGCTATAGTGTCCATATATACTCTAGGCACTATGGCCATGTAGAAGCTATCATGGTGTATTTCAACTTGGCTGTTGAAGTCGGCAAAATTTTTGATCAGCTTGAAGATTCATAAGACATCTGATGAACACTGATTGAAAACAAGTCGAAATGCTTGGTGTTAACTTTTACAAGTCTACATACTTAAATCAAAATAATAATCAACAATAATTTATCATACTTCAAAATGTGACTGTTCAATATTCATTTCTTCAAGTATTAGCAATCAAGAGTTTACTTGAAGTCAGTGTCATAAATATCTCAGTCAATGTGTTAAATGAAATGTTTCAATTACGAAACAGCTTACAGAGAATCTCGGCATTACACAAACTGGAAATTCGATCGTAAAAACCGCTCTAATGAGGTACGAGAGCACTAATCCGGTTCCGTTTTAAAAGTAAAAATTAAAAGATTACCAACAGTCGTAGGTATGATATTGTGTCATGATACTATCAAATTACGACTGAAAGTAGCAAAGACAAGCATACTTATATAAGGCTACTGCAGTTTAGTGTAACCAATTACATCCTAACAATACTATCAAAACGAAGCAAACAATGATTCATCATCATTCTTATCCTAGTGTTTCTACTTTGATTATCATTCTTTTTCTTTCAAGTCTTCATCTTATTCAATCGAATTCTATCTCTAATGAATGCTTGGACTATTGTTCAAATGATGGCCTTTGCATCGAAACCAATAATGGTCTAAAGTGCATTTGTTTACCTGAATGGACGGGACACCGCTGTGATTCTCCTCGAGATTCTTCGTTAGCCAAGCAAATGTATAATTCACAGGTTGACATGACATTTGTTCGTAGCAATCCTTGCGATTCGGCTCCAGCAGGTTACTGCAAAAATACCGGAATTTGTTTTGTAGAAGGTGCTGCATTTAAGTGCTTTTGTCCATATCCATATACTGGGGAATACTGTGAAGATTTATCAGGTATGTATGAATCTTTTTCTTATTGTCTGTGAAAACCGTATATGTTATTCTAGATTGCTTTGACTATTGTTTGAACAATGGCATTTGCAAATTAGAGAGTAACAACCCAAAATGTGTGTGCTCGCCCCCTTGGACAGGTAATCGTTGTCAGAAATTAGAAGCAACGACGACTGTCGCTACCCAATCAACACCATCTACAACAAATATACCATGTACTTATGTACCACCAGGTTATTGCAATTCTGGAACCTGTATTGCAGTTAATAATCAAGCACGTTGTCAGTGTCCATCAGAATTTTTGGGCCTCCAATGCGAAATACCTAGAGGAGCAACACCATCTCGTATGTCATTTCAGATACAAAATATTTTTTCTGCTATTTTTGTTCGAAAATACGATTATCATTGCGAAAGCTTCTGCTTATTTAGAAACACCATCGACAGTCACATTGTCACCATTTACAACGCCAACATCGACAATGACAACACCAACAACGCGTAAGTAGTTTATAGATTTTCATCTAAGTTTCTGAAAAACTAAATTAAGCATACTGCTTTATATTCAATATCGTTCTACCATCATGCAAAGTTTTCTATAGAGTCAGCTATATAAATACGTATTTTCTTGAAACAATTAACTTGGTGAATATAATTCATTATTTTTCTAAATTATTTTTTTAACTAGGCATAACATGCACTCCAAATCCATGTCGAAATAATCGTCCTTGCTACAACAATGGTAATTCATATTTTTGCTACTGTGGTCAACAATATACTGGAAAAAATTGCGAAAATTTTATTAAATAACGTATTGGTATATAAAAGTTTATTTGAAGAAAAATCGGCAATACAATGATTTTATCAATATATTTTTCTTTGTTTTAAACAAGAATACAATAAACTTTGAAAATTGAGAAATCTTTAAAAGAAATACAGCTTATTAGATCTCTAACGATCTCTCACATAACAAAAGTACATTATTGTGTATCAAAGCATTAATTAGTCTAACATTGATGTGAAATGTTGAAGATATTGAAAGTAAAGGCAGTGTTCCTTACTGAAATGGAATGAAAGAAAGCTATAGCTCCCGTCAGCACTTGAAAACAAATACGATAATTAATAAAATTTTGTAAAACTTTCTGAAAAAGCTTCACAAATCGTATACTAAATTCTAAGACAGATTCATTTCGAAGCACCATTCTGCAGTATTCTTATTAAAAAAATCGAACAAAGCAGTGACTACCGATAACTGTTGTCCAACGAGGATTGGTTTAGTAGATAAAAAATAGAGATCTTCTTTATTTTCTACAGAACAACTTCATACAAATTGATAAACTAGGCAAAACCCTAAGGACACTTAGAAAAAGACATGATAGTATGTAAGATATCTATACGATATAAATATGAAGGGAAAGAAGAAAATGAAATCGAAAAAGAAAGTACCATGAATAACTGACTCACACTATAATCATAACCACTATTACTGGTGTATATGCACTCCGTGCTTTCTATAGATTCATCTAAATTAGATGAAAGATGTTTAGGTCGATTCAACTGGATCAGGTTGTACCGCTTGTTGTTTTAATATTTTTTTCATCCTCTAATAATTAGATATACTATTTCTCAAGTTTTCAATGTATAACTTAAATGCCTTCGAGGACAACAATTTAAAACATCGATTAATCAACTTAATAGTTATAAAATAATCATCAACTAAAAATATTGATTCCTTCATCCTGTTAAAGTATAGAAATAAAATTTAGATTATTTCAATTACTGTAAGCCTTTAACAGTATCTTTTTATCTACTCTTTATTAATACGTCCTAATGCCTATATTGATTTAGTTTCAAATGACAACTTCTTTTTTTATACCTCTGCATGTAATGAGGAACCGTGATGTGTCTTATTATTCTGACAGACAACGCTGAATACTTCGCCCAATCAAAACTTGTGTTTTTCGTTGATTCACATCTTAGTATAAAGCATATTATCAACAGGTTATATATTATTTTGGCTTTTCAACATTGCTGAAAATAAAGAGTTGAGACAAACGGAGTTTTCCGTGTTCTCTGTGAATATAATCATAACTGCTTCTTAGTTGATCGAAATACACACTAAGCTGAACTTTGTCGGGCGTATCATAATTCGCTATACAATCTGCGGCACATTCTGAAAAGTTAGTTTTTATCTAGAATTTAGCATATCTCTAATTCTTTTTATATCCCAGGTAATAATTATTACTTTTCACTTAAATTGTTATCATTTATATGTGTCTTGAAAGTTCAAACAACTAAGTCTTGATATCAGA